GATTAAACACTCTGCCATATTAGTTGAGGATACATGTGTCAGAGTCACGTTTGCTTTAATTCTGCTGTTCATTTCAAGTTTCTGTCTTCGGGCGCTTGTTAAGTCGCTGAGTCACGTTAGGTCTTTTCGAATGCAGACTGCTTTTCCTGCTCACACGTTTAAAACCACCCGACCTTGCTGTAACATGCGTGTGGATTCTCGTTCTTGCGTGGTGTCGACTCATGGGGACCCTGTGAACAGCAGATCTGAAGCCCGGGCCACCCTCCTCATCTCTGTCACGCTGGAACCCGTTGCTGCGGTCACTGTGTTGGTCCATCCTGTTGAGGGCCTTCCTCTCTCTTGCTGACCTCCACTTTTCACAGCACGATGCCTTTTTCCAAGGCCTGGCCCCCGCTGACAGCACACACAGATAAAGAGAGGACGTTCACCACCCTTGCCGCTAAGGAGCGCTTGGGAAGAACTCAAATGCCTTTATTGCTAACACGCATTCCCACCTGCCCGCCCACTGCCGCAACCTGATTCCAGCTCATGGTAACTTCCCCTTGGATTTCTGAGGCAGTAAATCTTTACAGGAAGAGGCAACCCTGTCTTTCTCCCAGACGGTGCCTGGTGGATTCGAACTGCTGATCTTCTGGTTAGCATCCCAGCGTGACAGTGCATGGTTGGCAGCTGCCCTCGGACAGGGCTGTAAGGTGTAGCTACATTCTGGAGTCAGCGCAGTTACGGACTTAGGAGCATTAGACTCTGGCTGTGTGATGAGGCTGCACCCTCACCCACGGAACCTCTGTTTACTTCTCTGCAAAATGGGTCCAATGCTGCTGTATCGGGACACCGGGTTGACCACGTGAGATCACGATTGCAGCTGCTTGCAAAGTGCCTCCTGCATGCACGCCGCCTGTGTCAGAGGAGCGCAGGCCCCATGGCTCCTCCATCTTCATGGCTGGTTTTGGGAACTACAGGGCCCTCTAGGTGGACATGAACCCCCCCCTTCCATTTAGCACCTGCACTCCTCAACCATGTGCATTATGCAGGGTCTCCCACTTTATGAGTGTTCTGGTGGGGTCTGTGTGCCTTCTGAGCACTTCTGACCCACAGCGACCCTGTAGGGCAGAGCACAATGCCTGGGGGGCTGTAGTCCTATAGGGGAGATCCCAGGCCTTTTCCTCGCTTGACACCTGGTGAGTTCTGCTGGGAGCTGAGTTGAGTGCTTAACCACTGTACCACCAGGCTCCAAGCCGTCTGTGTTGCAGGGAAGTGCCTTCCTCTTGATTGCACACATAGTCACCCTGTGCCCATGGAGGGAGGCCCTGTCCGGTCTTGCGTCCTCCTCACCCTCTCTACAGAGCATACGTGGGCCCCTGTGACAGTCACAGGTCAGTGTGGTGTTGACAGCCGCCCTCAAGTGGATTCCACCTTAGTGACGGGGAGGCCCTGCCCGTCCTGTGCCCTCTCTATAGCGCATACGTGAGCCCCTGTGACAGTCACAGGTCAGTGTGGTGTTGACAGACGCCCTCAAGTGGATTCCACCTTAGTGACGGGGAGGCCCTGCCCGTCCTGTGCCCTCTCTATAGCGCATACGTGAGCCCCTGTGACAGTCACAGGTCAGTGTGGTGTTGTCAGACGCCCTCAAGTGGATTCCACGCTTAGTGACCCCGTGTGCACGGGGATGCCATCCATCCTGCGCCGCCTCCTCCATCAGCCCCTGGCTTCCTGCACGTGACAGGCTCTGTTAGCATGACTGCCACCTGCAGGACGCTCGGGGCCCAACTACCGAGAGTACACCATGTGCTCGGTGCTCCCAGAGCAGAACCATTTCTCAGCCGCCCTGGGCTGTACGATTGGGGTCCTCCCATCGCTGGCCCTCCAGGTTTTAGACGCTGTAGGATTAGAACCTCCCGTCACTGGACCTTCCAGCCGGTTTCTGAGTCTGTAGACTCAGGAGCCTCCGGTCGCTGACCCCCAGGTTTCTGGGGCTGTAAACCACCCAGGAGGAGACTGCCTGTCTTCCTCCGGAGGAGCCCTTGGTGATTGGACCCCCAGAGAGGCACAGCGTTTGGAGTTAGCAGCCCAGCTCCCTGCAGACCACCGGGACTCCCTGGAGATGACTGTTAGGCGCCATCAGGCAGAACCAAATCGTAGCTGACCCTCCAGCGGGTTACAGAGGCTGTAATTCACCTGGGGGGGACGGTCCACCTTTCCTGCAGAGCGGCTGGTGGATTGGAACTGCATGCCTTCGGGTTGGCAGCACAGCCCTTACCACAAGGCCACCAGAGCCCCCTAATCACTGCTAGAATAGATCAACGTTTACCAAAAATAAGAACACTTGACAAAAGTTCAAATAATGGGAACTTCAGTTTGCTGTTTATAGTTTGGTGTATATATTATCTGAGTGTATTCTTGGATTTTATTGTTGTTGGAATTATCCTATTCTTTTTATTTGGTCTAATTGTATGCTCTTTATGAGATACTATATCGAGAGCCTTGGTGGTACATTGAGTAAAGCTGCTAGTAATAAAGATTGGCAGTTTAAACCCCCATCCACTCTGAGGGACAGATATGTGGCATTTGCCTTCTGTGACGAGGGCAGAGGCGGGAACCCTCAGGCCAGCCCTCGTCCATCCCCTGAGGTCCTCTGAGTCGGGATCAGCTTGGATGTGAGGTACCAGATGACAGCTAGCAGAACATGCTTTTCAGCTACCCCCTAATAGTGTTATTACAGTCCCAGAATGTTAGCGTTCTGGACTTTGAATCCAGCAATCCAAGTTCAGATCTTGATGGGACTTCATTTGGGGCGTTCTGGTGGCCTGGTGGTAAGAAGCTGCACTCCATTCCCAAAGGCGCTGAGTTCGACTCCACCAGCTGCCCCATAGAAGAAGGATGGGTTGGTTCTGACTTGGCAACAACAACAGTAATAATGGTTAAGTGGAAGACCATTTGACTTTAAAATAGTTGTCAGGATTTCGTAAAGACTGATGCAGCCTTGTTCACATGAACTCAGGTCATGCGTTTTAATCAGAATATGTATTTTACAAAACGCACTGCAAGGGAGTCTCATGGCCTAGTGGCAAGAAGCTGCACTGCAGTCCCTGAGGTGCATGGTTTGAATCCACCAGATGCTCTGCTGGAGAAGGAGGGGCAAAATCCTCCTGTACCAGTCAGATCTGATTTGACGGTACACACACACACACACACATGAAATCAAATCTTTAAGAAAAAAAACAACACTGCACTGCAGAGGGACATGGTGCTGTCCACATCCCCGTGTGACTGGCAGCCCCTTGGCGGGAAACGTAGCAGGTGTTTGTTATCTTAGCAGCAAGCACTGAAAAAGAGCCGTTTCCAGACTTGGCACAGTGACTGTTGGGCGTGAACACCCAGAGCCCATGAGCTGAGTTAACGATGTCCACATCCTAGCCTCCCCCTTACTGGGGGGGACATAAATACGTGGTCCATTTCTCATCTCTGTCCTCTAACTGGCACATAACTTTCCTGTTACTTCTCGGGTTTTCATCTGTTGTTAACATTCCATCAAACCAGAACTGGCTCATAGCTGACCCTCCACTGGGTTTTCAGAGGCCGTAAATCACACAAGAGGAGATGACCCATCCTTCTCCCACGGAGCAGCTGGTGGATTCGAATCACATGCCTTTGGGTTGGCAGCACAACTCCTTACTACCAGGCCACAACTGCAAAGGGCGACTTGCTAAGAACTGTGGCAGCCCAGATCAGAAGTCCAGCATGGGCCGAGGCTATCGGTGCTCGTGCTTTACTGGACTCGCTGTCATTCTGTAGACTGCCGCATGGTTTCCAGTGTGTTGTCTGAAGTAAAACCCGGCCTTTTCTCAGCCCTGACTGCTGGATCCCTAGACGTAATGTCTAAGCCTGTTCCTCGGGGTCTGCTGGGAATACTCATCGTCCCTGTGACCCCCACGTGTCACAGAACTGCCCGTGACACTCCTTGGCTGAACTGCTAATGTGAGCAGTTCTTCAGCCTTGCTTCCTGCTGGGACAGTATTACCAGGGACACCATGTTTTAATACTTTAAAGTGTCCACCCGTGGGTGGACTTGAGACCCGTTTTCAAACCTGGAAGCTTTATAGTGTGTCTGCATTCTGTTATCCTTTGTGGGTTTCAATCACCAGCTTCTCAGAAGGTCTCAGGCTCCTCTCTGCCTGGATCCAGCCCTGCTGCCCGCATCCACAGGCCTGTGAGGGTTCACTTCTGGGGGCTGGTGGCTTTGTCTTGTTTTTGCAACAGGACTTGGTAAAAAACTGGGGGAACTGACCGGCAGGTTCGGGCAGCTGAATTACAGCAGCTTAGTTTCCAAATCCTGACATAAGCATCAGCAGGCAGCTTTCTGAGGCTGTTTCATCTCCCTGTGTTCCTGTACTTGAAGCAGTCTAATATTGATTTCTTCCTGACTGTCCCAAGATCACTATGAAATCAGTGGGAAAGCCTTGAGAGTTAAAAAATCAGCAGTATTAAGAGCTGGGCCCAGGGAGGTCTGCCTGCTGCCAGCACCTGTCTGTCAGGGTCCCTGGGCACCACCCACAGAAAACACGCCAGCCCAGCCGAGGAAGCTGGCATGCTTCAGAAAGAAACGCTAATCTGACATGATACCGTGATGCCACGTCCTCTTCAGATGACCCTCGTGTAGATGGTCCAAGTAAGAGAGTACAAGAGAAGTTAGAGACCCAGAGGTCTGTAAATGCAGACGTAGGGAACCCCAGTACAGCCCCTACGGCCTCCGGGGCTTACTGCATGTGCTCACAGGGGCTGCGTGCAGGACAGTGGCCTGGGGGACAGGACGTCAGCATGTGCTGGGCGCCGGCAGGGTGGGAATCAGGCCCTTCCACGCTTGGCCTCAGATCTGTTTCGAGTCCAGTCTCCATTGCTCGTTGAACTGGAGCCTGGAGAAAGCCGCTCCCTCTCCCCCTGTTAAACGTAGGAAGCCTCTGCAGTGGCTCTGGTTAGTGGGTGTCTCCTTCCCCTTTCCACAGGCAGGGAACCTGCAGACCCACCTGCGCCGCCACTCTGGGGAGAAGCCCTACATCTGCGAGATCTGTGGGAAGAGGTCAGTGTGGGTGTGGGGAGGGCGGGGGCCCGCAGGCCAAAGGACAGGGGTGGACGGTCAGTGGACAGGAGCCGGCAGGGTTCATGTGGGCCCTGGGGCCCCTCTCTGGTGAGGCTCCTCTCTGGCGGGGCCCGCCCTCTGGCAGGACACTTTCTGGTGGGGCCTCTCTCTGAAAGGGCCCTCTCTATCAGGCCTTCTCTCTGGCGGGGTCCTGTCTGGTGGGGCCCTTGTCTGGTGGGGCCCCTGTCTGGTGGCCCCTTCTTTGACGGGGGTCCCTCTGGTAAGGCCCTCTCTGGTGGGGCCCTCTCTGGCAGGCCGCCCTCTCTGGTGGTCCCCTTTCTGGCCGGGGTGGACCTCCCCTCTGGTGGACCCCCTCTCTGGTGAGGCCCCCTCTCTGGTGGTCCCCCTCTCTTGCCAGGCCCTCTGGCTGGACCCCTTCTCTGGTGGGCCCCTTCTCTGGCGGGCCCCCCTCTGATGGTGCCCAGCTGCACCAGTGACGGCTCCTAACGGGTTCCTTGAATCGCACCGCAGGTTCGCCGCCTCTGGGGACGTCCAGCGTCACATCATCATCCACTCGGGAGAGAAGCCCCACCTGTGTGACATCTGCGGCCGAGGTAGCGCTGTGCTTTGCTGTCTGCTGGAAGGCGACTCAGCAGATGCCCCAGGCCTTACCGTGGCTGCTCTGGTCTCCGCAGGGTTCAGTAACTTCAGCAACCTTAAGGAGCACAAGAAGACGCACACGGCCGACAAGGTGTTCACCTGCGATGAGTGCGGCAAGTCCTTCAACATGCAGAGGAAGCTGGTCAAGCACCGCGTCCGCCACACGGGCGAGCGGCCCTACAGCTGCGCGGCCTGCGGTGAGGGACCGCCCGGGGCCTGTTCTCTGAGGGACGGGGATGGCGGGGACAGTGTCAGGGGCCCAGGACTGGCATCAGGGGACTGGAGACAGCATCAGGGGGCCTAGGATGGCATCGGGAGGACGATGTCAGGAAGCCAGGGATGGCATCTGGACGTAAGGGATGGCATTTTGGGGAGCCGGAGACAGTGTCAGGAGGCCAGGGATAGCATCAAGGGGCGGCCCAGGGACTATGTCGGGGGGCACAGAGATGGCATCAGGGAGCCAGGGATGATGTCAAGAGGTCAGGGGCTGTGTCACTGGGGGATGGGGGGGCAGGGATGGCAGATCCAGGGACTTTGTTCTCTGATGGCTTCATTGTCAGCAGGGAGCCACAGCTGCCCCTTTGGGTAGATTGGAAGTTGTGATGGTTAATACCCCACACTTTACCGAGAAATGTGGGGTTCAGGGAGTTGCCGTGGAAGAAAGGCAGCTTCCCCAAACTCAAGTTATCAACCCAAGGAGCCGAGTTCTCCGACACGCGCGGGGTTCTTCTGAGTCGGAGATGCTGAGAGTCGGGGTTTGTGTGAATCTGTGGGTTCTCGAGCTCTGAGTGCAGAGCTGTGCTCAGCAGGTGGTCAGGGAGGCCCCTGTGCAGTCACTGGCCGCTGCTTGTGCCCGTGTCCCGTCGCTGACGAGCTCTCTAGTCCTCCTCCGTGAAGAGCTACACTGGCTCTCGGGGCTCCTGTGAGCTCCCTGACCGGTTCCCTAGCCGGTTCTCGTCCTCTGCCCGTCTCCCCTGGTCCGTCCTGGGACTAGATCCCTTGTGACCACCCTGCCCATAGAAAAGATCGAACCTGAGAGCAGAGACGTGTCCCGCTGCGCTCAGTGTTTGCAGATGTTTCTAGCTCACGGCTGAGTGGATTTTAGCCGACTTGTGGTGAGACGGAGAGGAGGGCAGTGGTTACCCCGTGGGACCTGAATGGGCAGCACCCCGACTTTCCCATGCAGTGGACACTGGGAGCTGGGTCCCCGACACTGACAACTTGAAGTGTTGACGTGACAGTGACCAGCGCAGTGGGGCAGGCAGTGTTGACGTGGCCAGTGCCCCAGGAAGCACTGGGCCGGGTAGTGATGATGTGACAGTGACCAGGGCCCTGGGGTGGGCAGTGTTGATGTGATGGGCAGTGTTGACATGACCAGGACAGCACAGGGCATGCAGGTGGCGGTCCACACTGCCCTGCGCCCCGGGAACAGGCTCGGGTCACTTCTGAGGAGCGGGGAGCCCGCCGGTGTCCTCTCACACAGACACAAACCCCCCTTGCCCACAGGCAGGAGTTTCGGGGGCTCGGGGGACCTGCGGCGACACGTGCGTGCACACACGGGCGAGAAGCCGTACAGCTGCGAGGTCTGCGGCAAGTGCTTCACACGCTCGGCTGTGCTGCGGCGACACTGCAGGACACACGGCCGGGCCGACGCCGATGACACAACCGAGGCCCTTGAGCTGGAGGCCGCTGCCCCAGGCCCACCCAGCAAAGCCCCCGGCGCCCCTAACCCCCGAGCCCCTGCCAATGACTCAGTAGGTGCCCTCGACGGCCCTTCCACTGGCCCCTTTGAGAAGCTGCGGGCCCCCACCCAGCCTCCCGCCGGCGACCAGGACAAGCTGGTCTTGGCCCCCGTTAAGCTCCCCAAGCCCCCCACGCAGCCGTCCACACACCCAGCATACGCCTATGCTGACGCAGAGGCCTCTGAGGACAGTATGTCCATCATCCGCTCATCCCTGGCCGCCTTGGACCATCCCAGCGGGGACACGCCGGGCAGCCGGGCTGTGCCCACGGCCTACAGGACCTCGGAGGGCCAGTTCTTCTCTAGCATGACACTCTGGGGGCTGGCCATGAAGACACTGCAGAATGAAAACGAGCTGGACCAGTGACATCCGCCCGTGCAGTGCGCACTGCCCGTCTCTCCATGGGCACAGCGGGGGTGTGGACACCCCGGCATCTCTCCCAGACTCTGCACCCAGCAGCACTGCCCGCCCGCCCGCACGGGTGCGTTTTCCCTCCTGATGGGGCTCCCCCGAGCTCAGAATTTGCGAGAAGAGACTGCAGTCAGCCCTGACCACAGGCCGGAGGCCAAGACCTCTTTTAGCAGTGGCCAGTGTGGGTGCAGACCCCCAGTCAGCTGCTGTGTGTGCTGGTCATGTGAAAAATGTGCTACATTGATAAATAAGACGTATTTTTCTTTATACAATTGAAATTTGTAGCCTTTTCTATTTTTAAATATTAACACTAAAGTTCTATTTGTGTATGAAGCAGACTGTAATTTAATTTGACGAAATGAAGCTTGTCTTTTTCTAGACCGTTGTGTGTCCTTGGAGTGTGTCTGTCAATTCACAGAGCAAACAAACCAGTCATCACCAAGTCTGCTGTGACCCGTGGTGACCCAGGTGCTCTCTCAGCCGACTTCTCGAGAAGTGGGTCTCCAGGTCCCCTGAGGTGCCTGTGGGGGGCCAAGCCTCCCCTTCCAGTCAGCAGTGAGCCCATTAACCGCGCCCTGCACCCCGGAAACAGGGCTCCATGCTGAGGCCCTCACGGAGGGCGCACCCGTGCGGGGACCAGAGCGGGGAGGCTACTTCTGGCTTTGATTGTCCCGCCGTCCTGGTCAGTAGTCTACACCGTGGTGGGCACGGAGTGCTCGCCTCGGCTTCCTGGCTGCATGACGGGCAGGCAGCTCACCCGCGGGCAGCTCTGAGCTCTGTCTTCTGTCCAGGGAGGCGTCTGTCCATGTCCTTAAAAGGTTTACGTGACACACTTGTGACCTGAAATGCCTGGGGCATGGTGTTTATGTCCTGTCACCTGCCAGCGGCCTTGATGGCCACAGAACATCTCAGGCAGATGTGTGTGTGTGTGTGTGTGTGTGTGTGTGTGTGTGTGTGTGTGTGCGCACGCGCGCGCGCGTGCTTGCACGCGGTTAAGGCTGCTGCAGTCCTCTGGCTGTGTGAATCTGTCACCACAGGAGACTCATGGGCTCTGTGTGTGTGTGAGAGAGAGAGAAGGCGTGCTGCAGTCCTGTGACACAACAAGAGATTCATGGACTCCTCCCAAGCATTGTACGGCCTCTGAAAACCGCTGGAGGGTGCACTCAGGGTCAGCTTGGACTGGACAGCAATGAGAGAGTGAGCCGTCAAGTTAGCGAGGGTCTAGGCCCAGCAGCCCTCCATCAGGCTCGAACCCGTGACTCTCTGGTTAGTGAGCACCATGGCACATACTACACGGTGCTACCAGAACCCCATGTATGTGCATGCACTCACACACATACGTAGTATATACACTTATATGTATATATTATGTTCTCAACTCGATGGTGAGAATCTTTGTTTTCTTGATGTTGACCTTCAATCCATATTGAAGGCTGCAGTCCTTGACCCTCTGCAGTAAGCGCTTCAGGTCCTCCTCAGTTTGAGCAAGCAGAGTTGTGTCATCTGCATAATGCAGGTTGTTGATGAATCTTCCTCTAATCCTGATGCCACATTTCTCCTCATAGAGCCTAACCTTTCAGATAATCTGTTCTGCATACAGGTTGAAAAGGTATAGAGACAGGACACATCCCTGGCATACACCTTTCCCAATTTTGAACCATGCAGTGTTTCCCTGCTCTGTTCTGATGACTGCCCGCTGGTCCAAGTATAAGTTTTGCATAAGCAAAATGGGATTCCCATTCTTCTCAAAGTCAGCCGGTTTGTTCTGATCCACACAAATGTGTTTGCATAGTCAGTGAAACAAGATAGACATTCTTTTAGTACTCTCTGTATTCAGCCAAGATCCATCTAGCATTTTCACCACTGGGTCAGTTGGCAGCAGCATGATAAACAGTGAAGAGATTGGGATTCTTAACAGGGTCAGCTTTGTTGGCTCCACAATCAACAATCTTGGTAGCAGGAGCCAGGAAATTAAAAGATGAATGGCATTGGGAAGTCTGCTGTCAGAGACCTCTCCAAAGTACTGAAGAGCAATGGTGTCACTCTGGAGAGTAAGGTGTGCCTTATTCAGGCCATGGTCTTTGCCATCACTTGCTATGTATCAGAGAGCTGGACAGTGACTAGTGATGATGAATAGGAGAGTTGATGCCTTTGAGCTGTGGTGCTGGAGAAGAGTATTGAATATACCATGGACTGCTTGGAGAACAAATGAGTGTTTTTCTGAAGAGATTGAATCCCGGCTGCTCCTTGGAGGCAAGTATTCTGAAGCTTCATCTGACGTACTTTGGACATGTTGCGAGGAGGGCCCAGTCCTTGGAGAGGGACAGTGCAGGAGAGGAAGACTTCTGATGAGATGGATTTTCAGTGACTGGGGTAACGGGGAGAGGTGTGTCAGAGACAATGTGTCTGGCACAGGAGAGAGCTGCTGTACATGGGGTTGCTATGAATTTTAAGCGACTCAGCACATAACAACAAAAACAACTCAATGGAGACTCGGGGCTTAAATTTGCTTTCAGTTTTCTCAGCTTGAGAAATGCAGAGTTCTTTATTCTCCAATTCCAGCATGTTCCATTATAATACTTTTCTTTGTCTTCTTGAACTGCCCTTTGAAATCTGTTCAGCTCTTTTATTTCAGCATGTTTTCCCTTCTTGACGCTCTAGTGCTATTTTTAGGGTACATTCTGACATCCATTTGGTTTTTTCTTGCCCCTCTGTCTTTGTAATGACCTTTTGCTTTCTTCATGCGTGATATCCATGAAGATACTGTCCCACAGTGATAACATCCCACAACCCATCTAGTCTTCGATCATTGGTGTTCAGTGCTTCAAACCTGTTCTTAAGATGATCTTGAAAGTCAGGCGGAATAGATTCAAGATCATATTTTGGTTCTTGTGGACTTATTTTCATTTTCTTCAGCCTCAATTTGAGCTTGCTCATGTGTAACTGATGATCTGACTCACAGTCCACTCATGGCCTAGTTTTGACGGGTGATATTGAGCTTCTCCAAAGGTTCCTTCCCCAGATGTAGTCAATCTGATTCTTGTGGAGTCCGTCAGGTGAGGTCCATGTGCAAAGTCACCAGTTAGGTCTTTTTATAAAGGTATTTGCAGTTAATAAATCATTGAAAATATAAAATTCAATCATTCCATTTCCAGCCTCATTTCTACCTCCAAGACCATCTTTTCTAACTACTGTTCCTTCTTCACTGCCTCCAACTTTTGCCTTCCAGTCACCAGTTACCATTAACACATCTTGACTGCATGTTGAGTCCATTTCAGACCGCAAGATTTGGTAAGAATTCTCAATTTCTTCCTCTTTGACTCTAGATGTAGGAGCATGTAATTATGTAATAGTCGTATTAACAGGTCTTCCTTGTATGCATATGTGTAGCATCCTCCCAACATTGTACTTCAGGATAGAACTGGAACTTGACTTTTTTACTATAAATGTGACACTGTTCTTCTGTTTTTTACACCCAGCATGCGATATCATGTGATTATCTGATTCAAAGTGGCCAAAGCTAGAAAAATAGGGCATCCGGATCGGAGGAAGACTCTTCAACAACCTATATTACGAAGATGACACGACCGTGCTTGCTGAAAATGAGGAGGACTTGAAGCACTTGTTGCAGAAGATCAAAGAATACAGCCTTCAGTATGGATTGCATCTCAACATCAAGTAAACAGATTCTTACCACTGGACCTTATAGGCAACATCATGATAGATGGAGAAAAGATTCAAACTGTCAACAACTTCATCTTCCTTGGATCCATAATTAATACCCATGGCATCAGCAGTCAGGAAATCAAGAGATGTACTGGGAAAAGTCTACAGTTAAGGATCTTTTCAAACTATTGAGTAATGATGTCAGTTTGAGGACTGAGGTGTGTCTGATTCAGGCCATGGTCTTTCTGATCACTTGCTATGCACCTGAGAGCTGGATAATGAATAGGGATGACAGAAGAATTGAGGCTTTTGAGTTGTGGTGTTGGGGAAGAGTACTGAACATTCCATGGACGAACAAAAGAACAAACAAGTATGTCTTGGAGAGGGTGCAAGCCTCGCTTCACATACTTTGGGCATGTTGCTAGGAGGGGCTATTTGGAGAAGGTCATGATGCTGGGAAGGGGGTTGGGTTGACAGACAGGAAACCCCTTAACCCGGTGGATTGACACAGTGACTGTTGCAAGGTGCCTAGAGGGTCAGGAAGTGTGAGGATGGTGCAAGATAGGACAGGCTTCAGCCCTGTGGTTCATAGGGTCGCATTCGACGGCACCTGATTGCACCTAGCAACAACACAGCACACATTACAATCCAGTTGGAACTGAGTCATCGCTGATCCTTCAGGCAGGTTTTCTGAGACTGTTAATCACATGTGCGGCACTTGTACAGGATCCACTGTTAGATGTCTTGATATTCGAAGGTGCACCTAATCCCAGACATGGGTTTGCAATTACTTGCAGTGCATCAGAGAGCTAGACTAAGGATGACAGAAGAAGAATCAATGCCTTTGAATTGTGGTTCTGGAGAAGAGTCTTGAACATACCACGAACTGCCAGGAAAACAAATAGGTCTGTCTTGCAGAAGGTGAAACCAAGTCTCTCCTTGGCGGCTAGGATTTTGAAACTCTATCTCACGTAATTACGGTCGTTATGAGTCACAGGCGACTCGACGGCACATAACAACAATATACATACGTATCTGTGTATTTCCCACTCACTGACATTGCTATGAGTTGTACTCGACTCGACGGCTCCTAACAACAACAACAAGAAGCATCTTACCGGTTCCACTTAAGAGCAATCGCCCATCAGTTTTCCAAAACTGTACGTCCCTGTGGAAGACGACAGCCCACCTTTGTGGTTGGAGGGTTTAGGAAACCATTTATGATTCTCTTCTGTCTTGTACGATCGCTACAGAGTGAGATTCTCTTGACAACACACAACAGGAAGGTG